AATATCGTACCGGTGCCAAAGAAGGATATGAAGATTAGGATATGTGTGGATTATCAGGATCTTACCAAGGCTAGTCCAAAGGACGATTTCTCGTTACCAAACATTCATATTCTCATCGATAATTGTGCAAAGCACGAGCTGCAGTCATTCGTGGATTATTTCGCCGGGTACCATCAAATCTTGATGCATGAAAAAGATATGGAGATGACAGCTTTCCCTACGCCTTGGAGAGTTTATTTCTACAGAGCCATGCCATTCAGCCTCTAAAATGCCGGTGCTACTTACGTGAGGGTCATGACTACCCTCTTCTATGACATTATCCACAAAGAGATCGAGGTATATGTGGATGATGTCCTCATTGAATATCGAAAGAATGCAGAACATTTGGACGACCTAAAGATGTTTGTTGAATGCTTGCGGAGGTATAAATTGAAGTTGAATCCTGCAAAATGTGCATCCGGAGTCCCTGTCAGGAAACTGTTGAGTTTCATCGTAAGTAGAAAAGGTATAGAATTGGATCCTTCAAAGATCAAAGCCATTCAAGACTTACTGCCGCCTAAAAGCAAGAAGGATGTGATGAGTTTCCTTGGCAGGCTAAATTACATCAGCAAATTCATAGCCCAGTTTATGGTAATTTGCGAGCCTATCTTCAAGCTGCTAAAAAAGGATGCCATTACGAAATGGACAAAAGAGTGTTATAAAGCCTTCAACAATATCAAGGAGTACTTGTCAAATCCATCGGTATTGGTCACCCTCGAGCCTGGGAAGCCATTATTATTATATTAGTCAGTTTTGGATAATGCATTTGGATGTGTGTTGGGACAACACGATGAAACCGGGAGGAAAGAGCAAGCTATCTACTACTTAAGTAAAAAGTTTACACCACATGAAGCCAAATACACTCTGATATAGCACACCTACTGTGCTTTGACTTGGATCGCCCAAAAGTTGAGGCACTGCCTGTCGGCATACACCACACATCTGATATCCCGGCTCGATCCACTTAAGTATATCTTTCAGAAATTGATGCCTACAGGAAAATTGGCCAAATGGCAGATTCTTCTCAGCGAGTTTGACATTGTGTATGTAACGCAAAATGCCATCAAAGGACAAGATTTAGCTGACCACCTTAATCCAGTGGACAAAGATTATGATCCACTCACTACATACTTTTCGGATGAAGAGGTGTTGTTCGTCAGAAAAGACATTGTAGAGTCATACCTTTGATGGAGAATGTTCTTCGATGGGGAGGCAAATTTCAAATGAGTAGGAATTGGGGCAGTCTTAATTTCAGAATCAGGATAGCATTATCCGGCATCAGCAAAGATAAGATTCCCCTGCACCAATAATATGGCCGAGTATGAAGCATGCATCCTCGGGATTAGGATGGTTGTTGACATGAATATCAAAGAGCTTTTGGTCATAGGAGACTCTGATCTGTTGATACATCAAGTTCAAGGAGAATGGACTACTAAGAACGTCAAGATTCTTTCATATATGCATTGCGTAAAGGAGTTGTGCAAGAAGTTCATAAAGATAGAGTTCAAACACATTCCCAGGATCCAGAACGAGCTTGTCGATGCTCTCATAACCTTGTCATTCATGATCCAGCATCCAGATAAGAATTACATCGACCCTATTGAGATAGAGGTCTGGGATCAGCATGCGTACTGGTTCTATGTAGATGAAGAGCCAGATGGTAAGTCGTGGTACTACGACATCAAAAGGTTCCTTGAAACAAGAGAGTACCTTAAGAATGTCGCCAATGATCAGAAGCGAGCACTCAGAAGGCTAGCGAATCACGTTTTTTTCTCAACGAGGAAGTCGTGTATAGGAGGACCCCAGACTTACGCCTATTTAGATGCACAAATGTTGCTGAATCAACCAGATTGCTAGAAGAAATACATGCAGGGACATGAGCACCTCACATGAATGGCCTTACCTTGGCCAAGAAGATTTTAAGAGCCGGATACTTTTGGATGACCATGGAGAGTGATAGCATTTGCTATGTGCAGAAATGTCACCAGTGCTAAATCCACAGGGATTTCATCCAGGCTCCACCCAATGAGTTGAATGTAATGGGTTTACCTTGGCCTTTCGCCACTTGGGGATGGACGTAATCGGATCTATAGAGCCTGCTGCATCAAATGGACACCGTTTCATCTTGGTAGCCATTGATTACTTCACCAAATGGGTCAAAGCTTCAACATACAAAGCCGTCACGAAGAAAGTTGTGGCAGATTTTGTCAGTAACAACATAGTCTACCGGTTTGGGATACTTGAATCGTTCATCACTGACAATGCAGCCAATCTCAATAGTGATCTCATGAGGAAAATCTATGAAAAATTCATAATCGTCCATTGTAACTCGATAGCCTATAGATCACAAATGAATGGAGCAATTGAAGCGGCCAACAAAAACATTAAAATGATCCTACGAAAAATAGTGGACAATTGATATTTAGCTTAAAGTATATATATTTATATGTACATCGCCTCATATTTTACTCCTGTTTCATGGATTTCAGATGTAATATGTATTTATTTATATTAATTTGGGGTGTTTTTCTATGTAGGAATCATTCATAGGCAATATGGGGTGAAAGGTGCGAGATTAGAGCCAAAAAGGAGAAAAATTGGAAAAGGGCCATTTGTAGCGCCACAGGCAGCGTGGGGCGCTACCTGTGGTGCACTTTGCAGAATCTGAAATTAGCCAGAGCCAGGGCTAGCCCCCCACGTTACCCTGGGAGCTGGTGACAGGGAACCTCTCCTACTTTGCCCGGGACAAGGTTATTTTATCCCAAGACCTACCCAACGCGTATAAAAGCAAGACTAAGCCTATTTTGAGAGGGGAGATGCCACTTTGAAGGAATATTACACACGAGAAACATCCGGGAGTGAGGATATCTCAGTTTTCTTCATTTTTTCTTAGTATTTTCAATTATTCAACACTTATGAATTTGTTTTGATATTATCATGAGTGGCTAAATCCCATAGTTCTGGGGTTGTGATTTAGCCATGAATATTGTTGTTTAAAGTTGACTTAACCTTGATTACAATTCACTATTATATGGTTGTTTCTTTAATTCTGTGATTAATTGCTTAATTGTCTGGCCAACGGTTAGGTTCTATTTACTATCTATGCTATGCTTGGGAAGGCCATGTCTAGATAAGAGAAGAATTGAAGAGAGCATGATCTTAACTCTGAGAGGGGCGGATTTGCAGTTAGGATGGGAATATACCTAATCACCGTGCTTAATTAAATATCGCAATCTTAATGCATTCGTAATATATTGATTCCATAGGAATGCATGCGTTAATCCATTTTGAATAGGCGAGTAGGAATTCGGGACAATACTACAAGAGCAATTATTCGATTAATTAGCAACCATGAGTTAATTGTATGAAAGGGAGAGTTAATTAGAACATAATAAAATTGGTGAATCGATCACAACCTTGGGATATTTGTCTTTACTGAATACACAAAAGCCATTTTGCTGCTTGATAAATTAGTTACTTGTTAGAATCATTGCTTAGTATAATCACACTTTTGAACTCTGATTGACTTGACCGAATAATAATCTTGGCAAAACTAGTGGATAGTTAACAAAAGTCTCTGTGGGTTCGACTCGACTTATCATTTTATTACTTGTACGACCACATATACTTGCGTGTGCAATAATTTTTTGGCACCGCTGTCGGGGACATGAATATTGACTACTTTCTAGTTTTTGCTTTAATTGTTTATTTCGTCAAGTCTAACGTTTCTTATTAGCTGCTCTGCTCTCAGAAACTTTGATTAAATGCGAAGGGTCAGAAGCCATGATAGACTTCAAGTCTTTGACCCCGAACCTTAGAGAACATTTTACATGAGGTTCATAGAAGCAAGGGACACAAATAATCTTTAGGCACTTGTTCAATTTCCTATGGACATGGCACAGGAGCAACATATGGTTGTTCAGGAGGTGGCGATGCCCAGCATTGCTAATGTCACCTCCAGCATTGTGAAGCCCAGAATCACTAGGCACTTTGAGCTAAAACATAGCGTGATCCAGCAACTACATGAGAATGGGCGGTTTATGGGTCTTCCATACGAGGATCCACAATAGCACATCCTGAACTTCTTGGAGATTAGTGACACTTACATCACTAACGGAGTCACTCAAGACTATATGAGGCTCACACTGTTCCCATTCTCTCTATTGAGGGAAGCAAAGCGATGGTTGAAAGAGGAACCAGCTAATTGTATTACATCATGGAATGCTCTGGCGAGGATATTTTTGGCAAGGTTCATTCCTTCAGGCAAAAATGCAAAGATCAGAATTGTGATAGTCGCCTTCAAACAGAAATCGGGGAAGTCTTTATACTCTGCTTGGGAAAGGTTCAAGGGGCTGCTCAAAGACTATCCTTATCACAATCAGACAAATTAAGTGTTAGCTCACACTTTCATTGAAGGGCTACATCATGAGACAAAGATTGTGGTGGATGCTGCAGTGGGAGGTCAAGTGTTGGAGAAAAGCTTCGATGAGATATATGCATTATTGAACAAATTCTCCAAAAGCAATCCTGATTGGCAAGGAGAGATGGGCAGACACATAATGCAAAAATCTGCAAGGATTTTTGAGTTAGATGTCGTCTCTGTATTATCAGCGTAGGTTGCCACATTGTCCAACCAAGTCAATAAGATGACATTGGTTATTAACAAGCAACAAGCTTAGCCAGTGCAACAGGTTCAGATATTTTGTGAAGTTTGTTGAGAGGGTCACTCGAGCGACTTATGCCCAGCTAATCCAGAGTCTTTCTGTTTTATGGGTAATGCAAATAGGGGCCAGACAAACCAGTATGGGAATACTTACAATCCTAACTGGAGGAACCACCCAAACTTCTCTTGGAGTGGAAGACAAGGTGCTTAAAATCAGTATAGGCCACAAGCTCCACAATAGCAATATAGACCACCACAGGCTGAACAAGAAACAAACCCAACGAGTCACATTGAGGAGATGCTAAAGAAATTGATGGTTGACCAGCAGGCCCAAGAAGAAGCGATGAGAAATTTGGAGCGACAAATGGGACAACTTGCCAGTGCCCATAATACTCGACTAGTTGGAGCTCTTCTAAGAGACATTGAGGCTAATCCTAAGACATCTATTAATGTTGTGTCATTGATAAATAGGAGACAGTTAGAAGAAGTCCCATCGAAAAAGAGAAAGCAAGTGACCTTTCATGAGAAACCGGCCACCATAGAAGCAGAATAAAAGAAAAGCAAGGGAGTCAGAGAAACCAACTGAAGAGGCGGTGGCTAAGCAACCCCCACCATTAGTTGCAAGTCCACCACCTCCGTTTCCTCAGAGATTGCAGAAAGTGAAGGATAATGCGGCCTATAAAAAGTTTCTTGATATTTTGAAGCAGGTGAAAATCAATATTCCACTGGTAGACATCCTTCAAGAAGTCCCCAAATATGCTAAATACATCAAGGGCATAGTGGCAAATAAGAGGAGGTTGATAGCGTTCGAGACTGTGACACTCACTGAAGAATCTAGCTTAAGAATTCAAAGCAAGCTACCTCAGAAATTAAAAGATCCATGTAGTTTCACTATCCAAATCTCGATTGGTAAGCACGTAGTCGAGCGAGCTTTGTGTGATCTTGGGGTGAGCATCAATTTGATGCCACTATCTGTATTTAGACAGTTGGGGTTGGGTGAGTCGTGCCCAACCACGGTGATTTTACAGTTGGCCGATCGCTCCCTTGCTCATCCTGAAGGAGTGATTGAAGATGTGTTAGTTCAAGTGGGTTCTTTCATATTCCTTGCTGATTTCATTTTCTTGGACTATGAGCCTGATTAGTAAGTCTCATTTATTTTGGGGCATCCATTCTTAGCCACGGGCCAAGCTATTATTGATGTATACAAAGGAAAGATGACAATGAGAGTAGGTATTCAATGTGTATAAAGCACTCAGATTGCCTGGCCACTATGAAGAGTTATCCATGATTTCTATGGTGAAAAGTGATATGACATCATTGGTACCTTATATGAGCCTCATAGATCATCTTGAATGAGCCTTGATTGGGGATAAAGAAGACAGTGAATATGAAATGATGGAAGAAATTGAGCAAGTACTTAAAATGTCTTGTAGTTATGTCCATGGGTTTGGGAGATTTGAGGAGTTAGATAGGCATGTTACTCTGACCCCTCCTAATTCATCTATTGAAGAAGCTCCAAAGCAATAACTTAAGCCCCTTCCAGCGCATATGCATTATTATTATTTGGGGAGCTCTGAGACATTGCTCATGATTATCTCATCCAGCTTGACCGATGTACAAGATGAAAAATTGCTCTGAGTGCTTCGTGAGCATAAAAAGGCTACTAGGTGGACAATTGCTGACATCAAAGGAATCAGTCCATTATTTTGCATGCATAAAATCTTTCTGGATGATGGACACCAGCCCAGTGTTGAGCAACAAAGGAGATTAAATCCCATTATGAAAGAGGTCGTGAAAAAGGAAGTAATTAAGTGGCTTGATGCAGGTATTATCTTCTTGATTTTTTACAGCAATTGGGTAAGTCCAGTGCAATGTGTGCCTAAAAAGGGGGGATAACTGTTGTAGAGAATGATAAGAATGATCTAATCCCTACTCGCACCGTGACGGGGTGGAGTGTTTGTATTGATTACAAAAGGCTCAACAAAGCAACTCGTAAGGATCACTTCTCACACCCATTCATAGACCAAATGTTGGAAAAATTGGCGGGGCATGAATATTATTGCTTCCTTGATGGTTATTCAGGGTACAACCAGATTTTCATATGCCCAGAGGATCGGGAGAAGACCACTTTTACTTGTCCTTATGGTACTTTCGCTTTCAAGCGAATGCCGTTTGGCCTTTGTAATGCGCCGGCTACTTTCTAGAGGTGCATGATGGCTATTTTCACTGATATGGTGGAAATATTTGTGGATGTCTTCATGAATGAATTTTCAGTCTTTGGGTCTTCTTATGATGATTGTTTGAAGAATTTGAGCAAGGTGTTGGCCCATTATGAAAAAACAAATTTGGTGTTAAATTGGGAAAAGTGTCATTTTATGGTACAAGAAGGCATCGTGTTCGGCCATAGAGTGCAAGGAGTGGCATTGAACCTGATAAGGAAAAGGTGGAGGCGGTTGAAACTTACCTCCGCCCATTTCTGTGAAGGGTGTCCGGAGATTCTTGGGACATGCGGGGCTCTATAGACGCTTCATTAAGGATTTTTCAAAAATTACTACTCCTTTGTGCAGGTTGCTTGAAAAGGATGTAACCTTCAATTTTGATGAAGCATGTCTGAAGGCATTCGAGGAACTCAAAATGAAGTTGGCGGCTGCCCCCATTATTACAGCACCGGATTGGTCCTTACTATTTGAACTTATGTGTTATGCACGCGACCATGCTATTGGGGCGGTGCTAGGCTAGAGGAAGGAAAAGATATTCTACTCCATCTACTATGCGAGTAAGACTCTTGATGATGCACAACTGAATTACACCACCACTGAAAAGGAGTTGTTGGTTGCTGTGTGGGCCTTTCGGAAATTTCGGGCATACTTGGTGGTAACAAAAGTCATAGTCCATACCGATCATGCAGCAAACAGGTATCTATTTACAAAAAAAGAATCCAAGGCTAGATTGATGCGTTGGGTTTTGTTGTTGCGGGAATTTGATATAGGAATACGAGATCGGAAGGGCACAGAAAACCAAGTTACCGACCATCTGTCAAGGCTGGAAAATCATGAGCATGTGGAGGAAGGTCGAAAAAATTAAGGAGGCATTCCCTGATGAGAAACTTTTTGCTATCATCCAAGACCCCTATGGTACGCGGACTATGTGAATTATCTTGTGAGTGGGATACTTCCTCCTAAAATTGAATTTGAAGCTAGAAAGAGGTTTCTACATGATGTAAACTTCTACTACTGGGATGAGCCATACTTGTACAAACAGTGTGCTGATCAGTTGATCAGGAGGTGCATTCCTGAAAAGGAGGTGGAATTAGTGTTGTATAATTTCCAAGCCTTGCCTTATGGGGACCATCATGGAGACGATAGGATAGCTGCAAAGGTGTTACAATCTGGGTTATTTTGGCCAACATTGTTCAAGGATGCCCATGTATTTGTTAAGAAGTATGACTCGTGTCAAGAACAGGGACAATCACAAAGAGGCATGAGATGCCTTAGAATAACATCCCGGAGGTAGAGATTTTTTATGTGTGGGGGATAGACTTTATGGGACTATCCCATTGTTCAGACGAAACAAATATATCTTGCTAGCAGTTGACTACGTGTCAAAATAGGTAGAGGCGATCACTTTGCCAACCAATGATGCCATAGTGGTAGCTATTTTTGTGAAGAAGAACATATTCTCGAAGTTTGGGACTCCACGTGCCTTGATTAGTGATGAAGGGACACATTTTTGCAATCGGTTGTTGAATAATCTTCTAGCTAAATATGGGGTCTGCCACAGAGTTACCATAGCATATCATCCGCAATCAAGTGGACAAGCTGAGGTGTCCAACAAAGAAATAAAGCAAATATTAGAGAAGATAGTGAGTGTGAATAGGAAGGATTGGGCCGCAAAGTGAGATGATGCCTTGTGGGCATATAGAACTGCATACAAAACACAAATTGGGGCATCGCCGTGTACGCTTGTTTATGGGAAGGCATGGCACTTGCATGTTGAACTTGAACACAAGGCGTAATGGGCAATTAAAAAGTTTAATATGGACTTTGAAGCCACAGGCGAGAAGAGACTCTTGCAGTTGAATGAGTTAGATGAATTCAGGTTGCACTATTATGAAAATGCTAAGCTTTAAAAGAGAAAACGAAAAGATGGCATGACAAGCGTATCAAGCCACGTCAGTTCGAACTAGGCCAACAGGTACTATTGTTCAATTCTATGCTCAAGCTGTTTTCGGGGAAGTTAAAATCGTGGTGGACATGTCCATTTGAGGTGGTAAGAGCCACTCCTTATGGTGCAATAGAGTTACGCGCTTTAAATGGTGAAAGATAATTTTTAGTGAATGGACACAAAGTCAAGCACTATTGGGGAGGAATCATTGATTGTGAGAAGACCAAAGTAGTACTCGCTGATGAGTAAGCGAGTCCCAGCGTCGTGCCACGACATTAAATTTTTTAAATTTATTTTAACCCAATTTTTATTGCTTTCATAGTTTAGTTTTTTAAATTTTTAGTTACAGTAGACTAGAGTTTTTATTTTCTTTGCAGACATATAAATTATAGGTAGAATGGTGTGGAGAATATAAATTTGATATATAAAGTGCTCGGGGGGATCATGGATGTCATTCAGAAAAAAATAGAAAATCGACATACACCGCCCAGCCCAGCACCCCAAGCTGTCTGGGGCGCACTTTATAGTAAGTTCAACGCCCCTAGTGCCAGGCCTAACGTGGAGCGTTGGGCTGGGGGCAGGTAAGTACAATTCTTTTTTTATTTTTGTTTTATTAGGTTAATACCCAGACCCATAAAACCCGACTCATATACCCATCAATCCTAACATTTTAACCCACATTATAACCCATACTCATCCCAACCACAAATTAAAATATAACACAAATTACCTAACACCCAATTACCCGTATCTCTCAAATACTCTCTCGCTCTTAAGCTCTCTGTTGCGACCCCTTCCCCCCTCTCTCCTGTTTTTCAAGTTTTTCTTGTTTGCTTTCATCCTCAATCATCAAGGTATGTTCCCTCTTCTCCATTAATTTTATTTTGTGAGTAAGTTCCCCATTCCCCCTCCAAATGCCCCAGACCCCAAGTCCCCATTAGTGTTTCTTTAGAACTATTTTCTATGATGGGTGGTCTAGTGTGCACTGAAATTGGTTGACAAAATTTGATCGTTGAAATTTTGGAGGGCCACCATGTTCCAACATTGTTGAACTAAGTTTTACACACTTCATGCCCACAATGTATTTGCTAAAATGTTTGAATGAGTACTTTGTACACCGGTGAAGTCTGAGTAATCGAGTGTAGTTGTATGTGATATCAGGCTAAGTGTGGGGTGTTGGGGGGTGGTTTTACATAATTCGGAGCTTGGCTTTAATGTGAACATATTTCCCACACCATGTACCTTGTATTATGTATGTTGTAGCACTTTGTTAGAATTATTTAGTGTAGTGTATTCGTTGTATAAAGTAAGGACCATGTGCCACTTGCTTGTATTAACGCTAAATCACTTCGCCCTGATCGACCACTTGATTTGTGTGGAATAGTTAGTGGATTATAATTGGGCGGCATGGGAAAGTCTTGAGTACCCATTGCCTTGTTGTGAAATACTTGTGCGTCTTAAACCACGATTGTGAGTATAGTACATTGAGCCTTCAGTTTTAAGTGTGGGGTCATCTTTGACTCTCACGATAACCGTAGGCGGATTTCTTGATTCATTCTCACATTCATGATTATTTGTGTTGTAGGTTGCTATGGCTCGTTATAGTGCGAACACGGGCAAGGGAGTAGGGAAGTACTCAACCACTGCTCCCCCTCCTAAAAAGTGCAAGGGGAAGGATCATCTAGGCAAGCTAAAGGGAAACAAGTTGCCGACAGATCACAAAAGGCACCATTGCGACCGAGGACTCGTTTGGATTTAGTTTGTGATGATGCCATCCAATGGCATAGGGACTTCGTGACATATGGGTGGTATGTCTCCAAGATGGGTATTAATGTGAAAACTTTGGAAAAGAACTTCCCAGACATGCTTGCCCGGTTACGAGAATTGAAAATGGATAAACTCCTAGAATGCCCCGGCCATGCAAATTTGAGCATGATGCGAGAACTGTATGCCAACTGGAATGCAAACTTGTTCATGT